GGGTGCGGGGAGCGGGTGGGGGCTGTAGCCCGGCACCTCCCGGGTGGTGTGCCAGGCACGGTGCTGGGTGCTTTCCAGGACTTTTATCTCTCAAATCGCACAGCCAGCCGTTGAGGTAGATGGTGCACAGGCGAGCGAACAGCTGCCTGAGAGGTTAAATGACTTGCCTAAGGTCACCCAGAGTGGCAGAGCTGAGATTTGACCCTTCACACCTCTGCTCTCTTCTGCCACCTTCAAGGCCCAGCCAGCGGCTGCCTGCTCCTCCGGGCGTGTGAGGGGCGTGTGAGTCCGGGGCACCCGGCCCTGGCAGGGATGTGGCACCGCGGGGAGGGGGACCCCGGGGGCAGGGGCGTGTGGCTGGCTGGCGGCAGGTGCTCGGGCCCCCGCCCCTTTCTGCTGGGCTGAGCCTAGCTGGCTCTGTGCAGGGGAGCTGTGGGCCTGCGGTTTCCATCCCTCGAGGGAGGGTGCCCCTGGGCCGAGGAGGTGGCGGGCTCAGGGTGGGGGTGGATGTGGGTAGCTTGTTTTCCCTTTCGTGGGTGCCAGTTTCGATTCTGTGACGGTGTCTTCTCCCCCCTGGGGGCCGGGCCCGGGGCCCAGGCGTCTGTCTGCTGGAGGGTCGGGCGCCTTGTCTCTGCCCCCATCCTCCGGGCCCTTGCCCATCCCCGTCCCCTCCCCAGCCTGGCCCTCGGCCCGTGTCTGTGATCTTTACCCCTCTGGCTGCTCCGGGCCCTCCCCGGGGCTGGGGCTGAGTGACTGCACTTGAAGGTGGAGCTCCGATCAGGGTGGGGAGACCTGCCGCCCGCCTCTCCCGGGGTGTGTGTCTGTCTGTGGGGGAGTTTGAAGTTCGGTCCAATTTCAGATTCCTCGGGGGCAGAGGGGTTGAGGCATCCAGGCGACTGTAGTTCTCTCTCCTGTGTGTGTGTGTGTGTGGGGGGGGGCAGCGGTGGGTTCCAGAGGACTGAGGGGTCCACCCCCCCCCCCAAAAAAAAAAGCTGGGTCAGGACGCCGGAGTCTGAAGCAGCTGGCTCTCTGGGCCTCACCCCCGGCCTCACCTCGGGGAGGCGGCCCCTCGTGGTGGGGGTCCCCCAGAGTGTCTGGCGGGGCACCTCTGTGTTCAGGGAGCGCGGTGTGTGCGGGGCCTGGACCCCAGGGCAGGCACAGAGGCCCCCGGCTGTGTGTCTGCGGGGAGCGGAGGCCGGGCTGGCACGCAAGCCCGGAACCGTGTTCTCTGTGTGGTGGGGCCCAGGTGTGGAGAGATGGTATCTGCAGATTCCCTCTTCTCCCGTGCGTGCCCCCCCACACACGCGTGCATGCCCACACACACACACACACACACACACACACACACACACAGGCTGGGTGTGCGTGCCCACACACACACAGAGGCCGGGTGTGCGTGCCCCCCCTCCCCGACACGAGGCCGGGTGTGCGCGCCCACACACGCACATGCGCGCGCACGCGCGCACACACACACACACACACACACACAGAAGCTGGGTGTGCGTGCCCCCCCCCCCACAGGCCGGGTGTGCGTGCCCACACACACACACACACACACACAGAGGCCGGGTGTGCGTGCCCACACACACACACACACACACACGCAGGCCGAGTGTGCGTGCCCCCCCACCCACACACACAGAGGTCGGGTGTGCGTGCCCCCCCCCCCCCACAGACACACACAGGCTGGCTGTGCGTGCCCACACAAAGGCACGCACACACAGGCCGGGTGTACAGGCCCCCCCCCCCCACTCACAGGTCGGTGTGCGGGCCTGCTCTGGCCCACCCGCACGCTTCCCATAAACCTGCGTGCATGCATTTCTGTAAGTGCATGTGAGTGTGTGTGTGAGTGTGTGTGAGTGTGTGTGGTGTGTGTGTGTGTGTGTGAGTGTTTGTGTGAGTGTGTGTGGTGTGTGTGTGTGTGTGTGTGAGTGTGTGTGTGAGTGTGTGTGGTGTGTGGTGTGTGTGGTGTGTGGTGTGTGGTGTGTGTGTGTGAGTGTGTGTGTGAGTGTGTGTGTGGTGTGTGTGTGTGTGTGTGTGTGTGTGTCAGGCCCGCACACCGACCTGTGTGTGTGTGTGTGGTGTGTGGTGTGTGGTGTGTGTGTGTGTGTGTGTGTGAGTATGTGTGTGAGTGTGTGTGGTGTGTGTGTATGTATGTGTGTGGGCACGCACACCGGCCTGTGTGTGTGTGTGTGTGTGGTGTGTGGTGTGTGTGTGTGTGTGTGTGTGTCTTAGTCTGACTGTCAGCGCTGAGGAGGCTCCGCCAGCCCCTCCTTCCCTCGCCTGAGTTCCGTTGTGTGGGGCCCCACAGGGGTGTGGGGGCCTGGGTGGCAGTTTGCCCAATGGGTGGGGCCCTGGTTCCTCTGACGTCAGCCCTCGCACCCGGGAGGGGATCTGCAGGGGCCTGGGCGGGGAGGGGCACTCCTCAGACATAAGGACAGAGTCCGATGGTCGTCACCGTTAATAACGGCGAAAATCACGCTCATTCTCAAGGCCCAGCCCTCGCCGGGCTGACTCAATGGCTAGAGCCTCCATCTGCAGACCGGAGGGTCCCGGGTCCAGTTCTGGCCAAGGGCTCCCCTCCCTGGCGTAGACCGCGGGCGGGGGCCCTGGTCGGGGGCTCTCTGCCTTTCCCTCTCTCTTCTGCTCTCCCTAAACATCAGGGGGAAAATATCCTGGGATGAGGATTAACAGAAACAAAAACAAAACAAAACAAAACAAAACAAGGTCCAGATTTCACTCCTAGGAGCGCTGCCCTCGCCCGGCACATACCTGTCCCACCTCCCCCGCCCTGGCACCGGCTGCCCGGCCCAGCTGGGCCCCGGAGCCCTGGCCTCGTCCACAGCGGCCTTGGCAGGAACCCCCCCTTCGCAGGCCTGGTCCTCGGCCAGATGCTGGCCGTGCGTGCGTCCCCGGACTCCGGGACTGAGCCTGGGGAGCCGGGGGTGTGGAACCTGGGGTGGCTGGAGCTTGGGGGTGGGGGGCGGGGTTGGAAAGAGAAGCAGTCCTTACTTGGGGTCTCTGTGGCCCCGTTACTTTCCCCTCCCTCCCTCCTCTCTGTCTTCTTCACGGCTTCATTGAGATGGAATTCGTGTGCCATAAAATTCACCCACTAAAGTGTGCAGCTGAGTGGCTTTAGTGTGTTCAGAGTTGTGCAAACCACCACAGAGCATTTTAGAAAACGTCCGTCACTGCAAACTGAGGTGCCATCCCTCTCGGCAGCCACTCCCCATTTCCCTCAAACCCACACCCAGCCCCTGGCGAGCCACAATCTACTCCGTGTCCTTGTAAGTGGCCTGTTCTGGACATTGTATGTAAATGGCATCAAACACTGTGTGGTCTTTTAGACCCAGCCGATGTGTTTCCGGGGTATCCGTGTCGCAGTGATGTCGATGCCTTAGTCCTTTTTCTTGGCAGAGTAACACTCCATGGTACGGATATAGGTGTCCTTTACCCATCCCTCAGTGGATGGGCATTTGGGTTACCTTTTTGGCTGTTAGGAACAGTGCCGTATGCACATCCGTGTGTACGTTTTTTTGTTTGTTTTTTAAAATGTATTTTATTGATTTTGTACAGAGAGGAAGGGAGAGAGATAGAGAGTTAGAAACATCGATGAGACCCTCTCCTGGGGATATACCCACAACCAAGGTACATGCCCTTGACCGGAATTGAACCCGGGACCTTTCAGTCCCCAAGCTGACGCTCTATCCATTGAGCCACACCGGTTTCGGCCCATGTGTACATTTTCCTCTCTCGTGGGTAGACACGGAGGAGGGAGAGGTTGGCTCGTTATAGGATAATGCTGTCTGACCTTTTGAGGAACTGCCGCCCTGCTGTCCAGAGCAGCCGTGCTGAGTTCCATTCCCTCCAGCAATGGATGAGGGCTCCAGTTTCTGACATCCTTGCCAGCACTGGTTATTATATCAGTCTTTTTTACTGTAGCCGTCCGAGTAGATGTGAAGTGGTATCTCATTGTGTGGGGTTTTTTTTGTTTTTGCGTTTTTGATTGGCTGTTCCGTGTGTGTGCCTTTTCTTTTATCTTTCATGTGTGGACTACATATGTATGTATAGATGCATGCATGTATATGTTTTCGGTATGTATGTCCCAAGCGGATTGGAAGCCTCTGCTTGTGGATCTGCTTCCTTTGTCTCCCTTCGCCGTCTTGCTGTGTGACGGAGTCTCTGGGTTCACCGCCGTCTCTCCCCACCCCATGGCGTTATCTGTGCGTGTCCTCTGGTCCCAGCTGTTCAAACAGGGTGTGGATCTGTGTACACACTGGTGGGGGGCAGACATCTGGCCTTTCATCTGGGGCCCACCCCTCACCCCCTCCGGGGATGCTGCTTCTGCAGACAGTATGTGAGTGAACGGAGCTTAGCCCCCCTCATCGCTTCAGTGCGGGCCCTGCCCTCCGGACACACGGCCCCCCCGGCCCCCGCTGCTGTCAGGCTGGGCACTGGGTGTGATGCCCAGGAGCCCTCAGTTCGCATTTCCCTATTTTCACGTGTGTAAACAGGCCTCCTCCCCTGGGCTGTGGGACAAGCCCATCTGGGGTGCTGGGGCTTGGATTTGGGGGGGGGAAGTGGTATGAGAGGGGCCCCTGGCTTAGGAGTCATTTTTCTGAGAAGTGCCAGTGCTTTGGGGAAGCGGCTTTTCCTCCCCTCCCACTCCCCACCAGCCTCATTCTCTGCGTCGTCGTCGTCGTGACCTCAGGTAACCCAGGCGGGGAGGGAGCCTCTGGGGTGGCACCGCGGACCCTTCGCCCGCGGGATTGTGGGTGAGAGGCCCTCTGCGGCTCCGAGCGCTGCCCCGTCTCCGCAGCCTGGCTGTGCCGTCCGCCGGGCCCCGCTCCGGGGCTGTCTCTGCCCGCCGGCCCGGGGCCAGCTGTCTGCTCCGCGGGTGCCACAGGAGCGCTCCGGGCCGCCCAGGTTGGGGAGCTCCGCGGGGAATGCCCGTGCGCCCGCCCCTGGTGCCCGCTTACCTGTCTCTCCTCTCTCTGCAGCGCCCGGACATGGCCCCCGCAGCTGCCTAGCCGGGCCCGGCTGGGAGAGGCGTCCTGAAGGCCAGCTCTGGACCCTCCCGGGGAAGTGCCAGCTCTGCCCGAGGACCAGTGCGTGGACGGCCCCGGCCCCTGGCCCCCGGGGCTCCGGGCGGCGGAGATTAGCCTGCGGGCGGCGGACTGCGGCCCGGGACGGAAAGGGGGCGTGGGCCGGGAGCCCCCTTCGGGCCCAGGCCCCATGCCCCGCGGAGGGGCGGCCTGAACCCGCCCGAGCGCCCGCCCGCCTCCTGACTGCGGCCGCTGGGCATGGCCAGCAACAGCAGCTCCTGTCCGACGCCCGGGGGAGGGCACCTCAATGGGTACCCGGTGCCCCCCTACGCCTTCTTCTTCCCCCCGATGCTGGGCGGGCTCTCGCCGCCAGGCGCTCTGACCACTCTCCAGCACCAGCTTCCCGTCAGCGGCTACAGCACACCCTCCCCGGCCAGTAAGTGGGGTGCAGGGCGGCTCGGCGGGGCGGGGGGCCCTGGCGGGGGCCGGCCTGGGGGCCGGCCTCGGGGTACGTCTGTCCTGCAGCGGCCGCGAGGCCTCCTGCAGACGGGGTCACTGTCCTTCGTGTGGGGGCTCCGGGGGGAGACGCGCGAGGGCCGGTCACACGGCTGTTTGATGTGGGGGCCGCGGAGGGAGAGATGAAACAGGGTTGTACCGAGGTGCCCCCCGCCCCGCTTCTGTGCAGAGCCTTTGAGGGCCTTATAAATAGCTCCAAGGCCTGGACACAGCCCCGAGGCGAGTAAACAAACCTCTCGACATTTGGTGGAAATGGCAGCTCTGCCGAGCGCGCACCCACCTCCTCCCGCCGATGGGATCGGAGTGGAGGGGGGCGGGCTGCTGGAGCCCCCTCCCCTGCCAGCTCCGCTGGGGGGGGAGGGAGGGAGGACCAGGAGCAGCCGGGGAGGGACAGGGCCGGTGTCCCAGGAGGGGCGCTGGGCTCGGACTGCGGCTGTGGACACATGCAGGGTCTTGGCAGGGCCTGTGTTTGCTCTCCGCCCCTCCCTCTGCCCCGGGGGCTGCCTGTGTGCCGGGCGGGGGTCTCAGTGCCCTTCCCCGGCCGGCCGAGCCAGGTAGTGGGAGGTGGCGGCGGCTCCGGCCAGCTGGCAGAGTCCAGGCCTCGGGCCTGCCAGGCCGCTTACAGTAACTCTGGCCCCCAGGGCCCGGCTGGGCGCCCGGCCAGGGCTGGGGGGGAGGAGGGAGCCGAGCCGGGGCCTGGCCCGGGGCTGGAGGAGGGGAGGAAGCAGCCGGATAGACGTGGACGGACCGGCAGGCTGGCGGGCCCTGTGCTGACCGGGGAGACCTGTCCCCCTTTCCTGGTGGGCAGGGACCGAACGCCCTGCCCCTCCCACAGCCCCTGGCACGCTGCCCGGCCTCCCTGCCCGGGGAGCCTGGCCTGGCAGGGTCAGTGCCCCCTTCTCGGTGCAGGGGGGGGGGCGGGCAGCGCCCTCTCCCCAGAGCGGGGAGTCTCTGTCCCCGGGGCAGGTCCTTGCGGGGCTCCTTGCTGCCCACACTGGCCCTGCGCCCACCGCCACCACCGCCTCCCGGTGGCCGCCCCTGGCTCCGCCGTGGCCCCCTTCCCCCAGGCCCCGCCAGCTGCTGGGGCAGGAGCCCTGTCTGTGTCCCTTTAAATCCTGGGGATCGGGGGCGGGGGGGTCCCCGTCAGACACTGCCTCAGTTCCCACCACCGCCCCTTCCTTCTCACACCTCCGCCGTCTGCTTCCTTCCTCTCTGTCTTCTTCACTCGCATAGGATGAGGCGGTGGCTCAGTGACCGGGAGCCGGGACCTGAGTCTGGCCGGGCCTGCACGTGGGCGCCGGTGATGGCGAGGCCGGTCCGTGGGCTCAGGGGTGCCGGAGGGGGTGGGGGGGCGGTGGTTCTCAGTCTCCACCGGGGGCAGTCGCTGTGTCTGCAGGGCCTGGGCTCATGTTTCCACCTTGGATAAGGAGCATCTACTTCCTGCGGGGGTGTGTGTGTGTGTGTGTGTGTGCGGAATTAGGGAGGAAGTCGGGCTGTAACCTGCTGTCTGTGGCCGTCCTTCCCCAGGTGATGGAGCAGAGTCCCCCCCACACCGCTCCCCGGGGCCTGCTCCCTGCTGGTGGGAGGGAGCGGGCACGCTCTGCCCTCCTCCGGGTGTTGCAAGCTTCTTCCTCTTTCTCAGAGGTGGGTGGGGAGGGCTTCCGGGTCCCCACTTCCCACCCTGGTAACCTTTCCCCCCCCCCCCGGGGTGGGGTGCCCACGTTTCAGGCAAGTGAGGGCTTCTCTGGCTCTCTCCGCCCCATTAGGCAATGCCCCTTCCGGCCCCTCCCTGCTCCTCTCCCCTCCTCCTCATCAACAACATCATCTTCCTACCCAGGCCCTGGCTTCTGAGCTTCTCCCTAACCTCCCCTTTCTGGGGCCACCTCCCTCCTTATGCAAAGCTGGAGTGGGGGGCTGGATCCCAGCTCCGGGTGTGGAAGCATGACGGATCAGGATTCCCATGCATGGGGCAGCCTCGCCTTCCCTGCTGCCCCTGCTGCCCCATTCCTACAGGGAGCATCGGCGGACTCGGGCCCTCTGCCCGCCCCCCCCCCTTTTTTTAAAATATATTTTTATTGATTTTTTACAGAGAGGAAGAGAGAGGGATAGTTAGAAACATCGATGAGAGAGAGTCACCGAACAGCTGACTCTTGCACACCCCCTACTGGGGATGCGCCCGCAACCAAGGCACATGCCCTTGACCGGAATCGAACCTGGGACCTTTCATTCCGAAGGCCGATGCTCTATCCACTGAGCCAAACCGGCTTCGGCTGCCCCTCTTTTGTAGGAAACCATGCTGAGGCTCCCTCCCCCCAGTTTCCACCAACAGCGGTGCTGGGACGTGCCCCCTCCCCCTCCTGTCCTTCTCCCGAAGAGAAGGCTGGGCCTGGGGGGTCTTGGGGGGCCCCTTCAGAGAGACCCGATGGCCCATGGAAGGACTTAACTATTCTTGGGGTGTTTGTCCTGCTAGCCTCTCAGGAAGGGCCCGGAAACAGTACAGGAGTCTCTACCCCAAAGCAGCCCCCGGGGCTTGGTCTCCGGGGCCTGGTGTTTACCGTGGAGGGCTGGACCCTGTGTGCGTTGTGGTGCGGGTCAGGGCCTGTGTGCTTAAGGGGTGGGTGGGGTCAAGGCCGGTGTGTGTCGGGGAGGGAGTTAATGGTTTATGTGTATTGGGTGAGAGGGTCACAGAGCCCAGTGTGTTTTGGGGAAATGCAGTCGGGGGAGCTGGGAAGGGGTGTCACAGCGTGTGTGCCGGAGGGAGGGGCCTTGATTGACTTAGGGCTTAGCGTGCCTGGGGTGCGGGGCCCGTGGAGGGTGCTGTGGGGGGGAGGGCAAGGCCTCCCATTCCTGTCATCCAGGCGGCAGGGGAAGCTAACCTGCCTCTTTTGATGCTCCCCCTCGCCCCCCGAAATCCCCCGGTGGGGCAGGGCAGGGCAGTGTGAGCTCGGGCTTCGTTGCTTGCTGATCGGATAGCCTCTGAGCGTGCTGCCCGTCTGTCCGTCCGTCCGGCGAGGATAGGGCCGGAGCCCCCTCCGAGGGCTGAGACCAGGCCAGGCCATCCGCGCCGTGGGGGCCACTGCCGTCTCTTAGCCGTCGCACAGCTGTTGGGACAGTGAGAAGGGCCGGGAGCTCGGGACCCTGGGTCCTCCTTGGTGGAGCACCTCCTGTGTGTGGGACTTGATCTCCGGTTCGCCGCCCTAATCCTCACACCCGGGAAGCGGGACGCAGTCTCCTCCGTGGAGGGTGAAGCAGGTTCCGGGGCGGGGAGGTCCGGCTCTTTTCCAACAGCCGATTGGCAGCTCTGGGAAGGTATTTTGAGGGGCACTCCCGGGTGTGGGAAGCCGGGAGCGGGCAGTGCTTCTGCCGAAATCCCCCCATGGCCCCGGCCCTGCTCCTGCCCCCGGAACTCCCGCCTTCCCCCAGCAGGGGGCGAAGGCAGCCCCCCCCCCCCCCCCAGCCTCCCCCTCTCTTCTCTGTGTTGGATACTGAAGGCTGGAGGGAAAGAGCGATAAGAGGCCCCGGCCAGATCTCCATCCTGTCCTGGAAGCTGCGGATACAATCTGTTCACACCCATCCCCACCCCCCGAATCTGCCCTCTGCCGCCGCCCGCGGGAGTTTGCCGAGCTCAGCTCAGCAGGCAACCGTCCCCCAGCTCCAGACAGACACTGCAGGAACAGAGTGTAAAAACCACAGTTCATAGTCTTATTTTGTTTCAGTGTGTGGGGCGGGGGCAGGGAAGCTGGAAGCAGGCAGCGGAGGAGCCGGAAACGGGAGCCCCGAAAGGTTGGCAGGGTCTTTCCCTTCCTGTCCCTGTGCTCGCTGTGTGTGCCTCAGGCTGGGCATGGCCCTAGGGCCCGAGACCCCTTCTCCTCTGCCACCCTGTCCCCACTGCAGGCTGCATCCTCTCTCCTCCCCCCCCTCCCTCTCTCTCTTTCCCTGGACATTATGGGGGGGGGGAGCCCAGGGGAGGGGGTACAGCTAAGCCATGCCTTTGCTGGGATCCAAAATGTAGAGTCAGCCAAGATCTTTGGATGGAATTTTAAAAAAATATATTTTATTGAGTTTTTACAGAGAGGAAGAGAGAGGGATAGGAAGCTAGAAACATCGATCAGCTGCCTCTTGCACACGCCCTACTGGGGATGTGCCCGCAACCAAGGTACATGCCCTTGACCGGAATTGAACCTGGGACCTTTTAGTCTACAGGCCGACGCTCCATCCACTGAGCCACACCGGTTTCGGCTGGATGGGATTTTGAGTGAAAAGGGGGCCCTCACCTTTTACCTGGCGGCATTCCTCCTGCACAGGCCCCTCCGGGCAGGATCCCGGCAGGGGCTGGGGGAGGGACTCCGGGAGGAAGCCTGCCCTCTTAGACCGGCCCGGACCTGGGGCACCGTAAGGCCCTGTGCCCGCGGGAACCTGCTGGCGAAGACCTGACCACCTTCAGGAGTAGCCATGTATCAATAGAAAGAGGAAGAGGTTTCCCTTCTGCAAATGGCTTTGGGGTGGTGCCCACCCCGCCTTCCTCCTCCTCCTCCTCCTCTTCCTCCTTCGTGGAGTGAGCAGGTGGACGGCCGGTGGAGCTGTGGCCCTCAGCCCTCACCAGATCAGAAGTGAGCGCCCTCCCCCCCCATTTTGACCGCTGAGTGCTGGGAACCTCAGACCGAGGCGCTGTGGGCAGCAGTCTCACAGGGAGCGCTTCCTGTTTGGCTTGGGCAGGTCACCCGAACGCTCTGGTCTGCTTCCTCCTCCTTAGAGCAGTGCTTCTCGCCCCCCCTGGCCGGGCCGGCTGCCCGAGCCGCGGGGACCTGCTTGCTGTGCAGGCTGGGGAGCTCGGAGGACCTGGACCGATGAGCCGTGGTGATGAGGGGCGGGCAGAGCCGGGCATTGTCTTGGGGGACCTGGTTCAGGGCCTCATGACTT